GTTCATCCAGCTCTACACCTTGTTATCTTAGGTCAAATGGGATGTCTAGTCAGCATGAATGAGTTGGACTGAAGGGTCTGTTTGCATGCTGTATGTCTCTATGTTTCGGGTCGGGACCCTTCGTCAGAAAAAAAAATTTCTGACGAAGGGTCTGACTCAAAACATCAACTTTCCTGCTCCTCTGATGCTGCCTGGTCTGCTGTGTTCCTCCAGCTCCACACTGTGTTAACTCTGACTCCAGCATGTGCAGTTCCTGCTATTTTTCTGCTTCAGAGAAAGTTGCATCCACAGGACTCCCTGATATATACTGTGCTCCTGCACACTTGAACTATCTGGGATGCCCACACAAAGTCTTTGAAAGAATATTTGCTTAATATTGATAAATAGAAGAGGTATATTACATTGTATTTAATAACTAGTTACATTACATCTGAGATTCATGACACACATTAGTAAGACATCAGAGTAGACTTAAAAGAAGCATGTATTGCGGCTACTGAAGCAGTATGGTACACACAAGCAAATAGTGGTTAGCTCCTTTCAGGAACAGTCCTGATGGGCAGAGCTTATCTAATGATGTCAGCTAAACTTGCAGGTACTAATTGCTTTAAACAACACTCCCAATATCTCTCAGCAGTTCTTGCTGCACCATTACATATATCCCATCTCTCCTGGACTTTCCTTTCAGCTGCTGTCAATGTGCCAAGTGTCATGAAGCTCATCTTCTTGAAGTATGTATGATACTGTCAGCTCACCCCAAGTAAATATCAATAGGCTTCTCCTGGGCCTCATGTTAGTGTCATGGGATCAGGGCATGACAATTATTTCAGGCCCTATATCAAACCTAAAGAAATTTCACCATACCTTTGTAATGTCTTCCAAGCCAAGAACAAGAGGATACAATTAACAAATATCTAAAAGAGAAGATTCTACCAAGCAATTTCCTACAGGTTACCTGACTGCTCTGAAATATTACTTAAGTGCTGTAAATAGTTGCTAAAAATTCTCTTTTTCATGTTGCATTAGTCGTTTTTGAAAGTCATTTCAATAAATTGCCTTCAATGTACCAAACAGTTGTAAGCTCTTAGTTTAATTCCTCCATTGGAACATCAAAAACAGGAGTAGGCCCTTAAGCCAGTTCCAGTGTTTAATGAGATTGTGACGCAGCCTTAGCCTCAACTTTACTTTCCAATCTGATCTCCATTACTTTGATTCTGTTAGAGTTAAAACAAATGCCAATACTCAGCCTTGAAAATAGTCAATGAGTGAACATCTACAAGCTACCAAGGTTGAAAATGCCAAAGTTTCTTTCTACATCATATACTTCAGTTGCATATGCTGTTAGCCATTGGTAAAAGCTATAGCATCACAGCAACAAAAGTGAAAACCGAAGCATGTGCAACTGTTAATGGTATATACATGTCCTTTAAAAGCCCCCAAGACAGTAATAGATTTCTATTTTAGTGCCTTTTTATTATTATTGTTAGTGCCTGATAAAACTTCATAAAATTATGAGAGGTACAGATAGGGTTGACGGGCAGAACTTTTTTCCCCAGAGTTGAAATGTCTAATACTAGGGGGCATGCATTAAGGTAAGAGGGCAAAAGTTCAAACGAGAAATGAGGGGCAAGTTTTTTACATAGAGAGTGTTAGGTGTCTGGAACGCGCTGCTAAAGATAGTGATGGAGGGAGACACAATAGGGGCATTTAAGGGGCTTTTAGATAAGCACATGAATAAGCAAGGAATGGAGGGATATGGACCAAGGGCAGGCGGAAGGGATTAGTTTAATTTGGCATTATGTTGGGCACAACATTGTGGGCCAAAATGCCTGTTCCTGTGCTCTACTGTTCTACGTTATAATATAGTGTGCCATGGATTCAATTATTTAATTTTTTCCTTGATCTCTGTGATACTTATTATTAACATTATTTCACAAACCTGGTCCAACATACTGCTATTCCAAAATAACACAGCACATTAACTGCGTTGACCATTTACATTCCAAAACTCTGCAACTCCTGATGTTGATTAGTCAGTTGAAGGAACAGTTGTGAATGCACACATGGCCCGCATAGATTCCGCCAGTAAATGCACAGTGTCTCCAATGTATGGTGTGTGCCTATTAGCTGGTATCACTTCTCTATGTGTCTGCATGGGGTCTTGGCATTCCTTCCTCAACAGGCAGTAAAAATTACACAGCAAACCATAAATTACATGTTTTAGTGAATTTTTTTTTAAACTTAAAAAATTGCTCACATAACAATTGTCTGCCAGTTAATAAAATGTTACTTGTATAATCTGCATTTTTCTAACATTATTCACAATCCAGTAAATGCAAAATCACAGTACCTGGTACAAAAGTATTAATGGGCTATGTAGTTTACCCACAAATAAAGATTAACTCATAAAACGACACACAGCAAACGGTAATCAGCTGTGGATTTCACCTTTCCAACATTGATGCTTTAACTGCTGATGTCTGCCATCGCCATGATTTGCTTTAGCCAGTGAATGTTTCCTTTTGTGCGGCAGTGCAAGCCTGTGACCCAAGTACTGAAGGAGAAAAGAGATTCACAACTCCTTTGGAAATATCAGCCTTAATTATTTCTGCACCCAAGTACAATGATTAGCGCCAAACATAATGTTAGGATCTGCTGTCATGAGTAGTACAGGGGATAGTTTTGTTTTCCTTTATTATAGAATAGAATAGGATAGAATCCCTACAGTGTGGAAATAGGCCCTTCGGCCCAACAAGTCCACACTGACCCTCAGAGCATCCCACCCAGACCCATCTCCCTATAACCCACCTAATCTACATAACCTTGAACACTACAGGCAATTTTAGCGTGGCCAATCTTATTCTTTCCTGGGACATAGGCATCACTGGCAAAGCCTGTGATTTATTGCTTGTCCCTAATTTCCCTCGAACTGAGCAGCTTGCTAGACCCTTTCAAAGGGCAGTTAAGGGTCAACTACATAACTGGAGTCACAAATGGGCTACACCAGGTAAGGTATGGCCCATTTTCCCTCCAGAGCAAATTATGGAGCAGATGTTAATGGAAATATTTAACTCAGTTTACTAAAGCAAGAGATATATAAAACAGAGGAATTTAAATGTTGTAGCAGACATCATCATCATTTTCTTTCTAGGCGTATCAAACCATCTTTCCTCCTTTTACAAGAAGCAAAGCAGGCTGTTGCAGCAATTATGAACCTGGTGTAGAGAAGTGCAAGATTTCAGTGGCCAAGTAACTTCTAGATTATTGGAAAAATCCATCTAATTTATGACTGTCCTCTAGGGAAGTCAGTCTCCTATTCTTACCTGAGATCTGTGTTATATGTGATTACAGACCATAGCAATGTGGTTGACTTTTAACTGCCCTCTGAGCTTAATAATATTAAAACTGTTGGATCACCCAGCACTGAGCTATACGTCAAACTCACATATGACTAAAGCATACACAAAGCATCCATTGCTTATGCATATGTTTCAAATGAAGCAAGTAAAGGAGGAAGAAAGAGTGCAGGGTTGGAAACAGAGCAGAATTCTCCTAATTTATGCTTCATATCAGAGACTGATAGAAATACATTTTCTTTGAAACAGGTTATGTTGAAAAAGTAGCAATGGTGACTTTAATAAACTACATCTCAGTGGCTATGTGAGAGATAAACACAATGAAAATGGCATATATACAAATCCCAATACAGGAGGTATGTCATGGGGCAATAACCAGGGCTAGGATTCTAGGGGGCTTGCTGGGCTCAAATCAGCACTGGGACCCAGAACAGAAGCAGCACTGGGGCGCGTGCTTTTTGTCCCTGCTCCTGCATATAGACACAGTAGGAGACTCAATTCACTCATTCGAAGAGAGATGTATCAACTACAGCAATTTCACTTTAAAAGTTACATTTTACATTTTTCAATTGAAATTTTTACAGGAATTTGGCAGTGAAGTTTGTATACCATGCTATTAAGAATCCTCCTGGAAGCTGATTCATTTCAGTGGGGTAACAAAACTATGTCTGGCAAATCAGAGACCATACTGCAGTTTGAAAAGCATCATAAAGAAAACATGAAACATCCTTCACCACACTGTTCATATGTGAGCCTTATTCTTTGTATAAAAAAAACACATGCTTCACAGTGCAGAGCACAATACAATAGACATCACAACTTACAGTACCACATAACAATCATCATAAGGCAACAGAAAATGAGGCAAGACAATTGTTGACAAGACATTTTCCTGCTTTTGTGCGCGGATGGTAAGGCAAGTGTCAACTGAATAGACATTTCTGACAAGTAAATATTCTCACAAACATTAGTTAAGAGGGGAAAATATACTTAGAGAGAGACAAAAAACTTGAATCACTCTGATTTGTCATATTTTCAAGCACAGAAATGTAGTATCACCTTAAGTACTTTGTCAATAAATCTATCATTAAATTTGGAAGCTCAGTTAAAATGCTAAAGCTCAAAACAATAAACCAATAGGAGTCAGGGGATTCCTGCAATGGAAATCAACACTTCTTTTGCACTGAGTTCGACAAGTGTCAATACCAGAGAATATTTGCTATAAAAATAAAGAATGTATACATGACTTTTTTTTTAAAAGTAGGCAGTTAACAAGTCTCCTAATATTTTAAATATAGTCACCTGAGTAATATTTTGATAACTGAGAGTTGTTAGGTCACTGTGTGTGACTGCTGAATGAATCTGGGATACAATAGTTTACACGTATCCATAATACATTGTTTTAATGTTTCAAATCATGACACGATACCAGCACACCATGATTCAAAAACACGTATGCCTTCTATATGTGGATAGTTTTAAAGATTTTGGAAATCCTTGATTATATCAGGAGGTCCTAATACCATTTTGTAGCATTAAAATGAGTACGTATGAATATTGCCTTGACTGAAGCATGAGGGATATATATCACAGATTCATAATGTGTGAAAGGTAAGGATACAATTTTGAAACCATTAACTTTGCTAATATTTCAAGAAAAGAGAACTTTTTAAATTATCTTGACGATAATGTCCCTCAAAAAGAAAATTTTTTCTAAATTTTCTCATATGAACAATGAAATTTTCCACATACATCATGGGCACCATAAAATAATTGATAGACTTTGTGTAAATAGTTCATATTGAAAAATCTGCTGAAAATATGAAATTAACTGAATTTTCAATAAAAACTGACACGTAAATTGCATAAAAAGATGAATAATTCAAAAATATCACACTTGAAATACACACACATGGACATCAACTGGTAAGTGATTCCACATATATAGTCCAACAGTCAATAAGATATTGTGGAGCTGAAATCATTTAGCACTTTGACACTGGAGATTTAACAAGTCCTTTAACCAGTAGTGTAAATAGGTAAGAAAAAAAAATCTTCAATGTTACAAGGGGGTTCATCCAACAGGAGTGTAGATTAAAAATAGGTTAGCTTTGAGTTCTTCATGCTTGGCTTCAACAAGCTCATTTTTACACCTGGTCAGTAGAAAGTATTGGCACAAAGATCTTGGGTTCAAATATTGAAAGCAGCCAGAAGCGTATGTACATGGAGAGAAAGGGAAGAGGTAGAGCAGTGACTGTTTTGTTCCTAATATTGAGGTTTCTTTGAGTTTGTCCATGAATGTTGAGGCCCTTTAAACTTCTTTAAGTGTTATTTGACAGCTTCCATTTACGTCCTTTATTTCAACCAAAAATGCAGCATGGTTACAATAATGCTGCACAATGTTATCATCCATGTTTACCAAGATTCTGTAGGAGGAAAATGGAAAATGAATGTCAATTACAGCTCATTAATTGTGGTCAAAGCTCTTACGCTTACAAAAAAAAGAGTTGCTGTCAAGGGATAGCTTCTCACTACATATGAAAAACATTCAAATGTCCAACCCTCCACTACATGACAGTGCAAAGTGGGTAAAAGCACGGTCCTCCAGCTAACTACTGCTATGGCAGATCTTTCATGAAGCAACAGAACACATGCTTACGGAGAACACTTTGAACATGCAATTTGCACCTCTCTTCTGTTTGGTCTTTTGATGTTGCGAATATAATTGCACCAGAACAAGTGGCAACTTGTTTGGAAAATCAGAGCTAAAATAATCCGACTAGTTTACAACATTTATGATTTCTAAATTTAAACACTAAATTCTTCCTAGTGCACCTGTTTTTGTGTTCTTGCAATGAGTCATATGAGCAAGGACCAAAATCAGTGCTCAAATCAGCAAGGCCACATTCCAATCCAGTCACGAACAAACATTCCAAACTTATTAACTATTTGCGCACATTCATTTCGTCTTATTCACTTACAATCCCTTTTGTATTGCCGCACTCACATAAAAGCTATCAAATCATCTTAATTTAATATCATAGAATGTTCCGACAATGCCATTTTTACTATAAAGTTGAGGAAAAAAATCCCTCAAGGAAATCTTCAGAAACACATTTGCATTCCTGTTTGGCCTATTATTCAAATATTATAATTTTGTTCTCTTTGTTATTTTATTAATGAAGCACACATAAAAATTAACAGACATTATTTGAAAAAAATGTATCACCTAAGAAAAAAAGATATAAACTTTGAAATTTGCAATGTAGTTTTGGAACTGTTATTAACATTTTGCTTTGAGAATTACAATGGACAAATGAGTGAAAAATAGTTTATAGGAACAACACCAGCATTGCTTTGGGACTTCACAATTACTATGTGTCTTTCCAGTGTTTTGTCATTTGTGTTGATCTGAAGTACTGTTAATTTCCAGCTACACAAACCATGTAGTGTAATTTGGGAATGAGGTGCTAGAGGGTATTCTGTGTGACACCACTTTGAGGAAGCAGATAGAGAATGCTGTTGTTGCAGTGCAACTACAAATGGCATGAGGTGAACTTTAAAAATGTCTATTTTCAAGTATCCCCCTAACTGATTCTTAAATGTAAGCATGGTTTAGCTTCAATTATCAACTCCAGTAGAAAAGGCCCACAGCCTCATAAGCCTCTCTGCAATAAGGTTTCCCATATTGTTTGTTCTTAATTTTTACATTTAATCTTATTCCTTTTTCCCTTCATGACAGGAGCTTCAAACACTGGTGATAGACTTTTACCATCTTCTCCACCCATCCCTTATTAATACATTACCAGCAATTGTTCTCCCACTCTATGCCTTATTGGTACAATAGTTAGTTAATCCTCTATAATTCTAATTAGAAAATTATACAAATTAACAGACAGTAAATGAATGCAGATTCATTGCTAATGCATGCTCACAATTAATTCATACGTTACTACACAAAGTGTAAACCCATCCATATGTCCAGAAACATAAACACAACAATATGTGTACACCAATCAATAAACTAAACAATTCAGGTCACAAGTGAACTCACTCACCAAAATGTTTAACTGAAATGACAGTCTATGAGCTAAATTTCTCCAATTATTGTTAGCTCACAATATCAGAGCTGCTCAGTTTATACCAATGTTCAGTGGAAAAAAAAATCCATTTCAAAAGATTAAAAAGTTTGTATTATTTTTAGACCATGCCATTTACTCATTGTTGGTATATAATTTTAATGTAATTTTAATTCAGTATTACCCTTCTTTTTGTACTCCAACTGCACCATCCCAGTCATGTGCTGACTTTGTTTCTCGATTTTTGTTACTGTTCGATTTTTACATGCTTGCATAACTTTAACCTCATTACTTTGTCTGAGTTTACTTACTAAACTATGCCACAATTCAGCCCTAGGGTTGCATAGATGTTTCTTGGACAAAATTCCTACACCTACAGACACAAGCATTAACTACATTACCCTGATTTCAGAGTGTACTTGATATGAAACCTACAGTTTAAGAAGAGTTCCTGTACTGGTCCTGACTCCAGTACTGTAAAAGAGCTACTTATAACACAGAAATAAAGTATTTTCAATTACTCACCCTTTCATACAGTTCTTGTAAACTTTAGAAATTCTCTCCTTAAGCAGCCCATACTTTTCTGAAATCTAGGTTAAGAACATCAAAATACAATTGTCAAAACAGTCAAGCAAAATTGTATCTGAGGAAGTCAACTGTACTTAGAGCTTTATATTGGTGAGTCCTAACAAGAGTTGAACCATGGATAAGAAAGAAAGTCTACATGATATTTAATAGAGGCTTTTTGCCACTAATTGTAAACCTTAATGTTTTCATACATTTCCTAAATGAAGCATAATAGTCAAAGACAAAGCCATATAGTACCTTTAATGTAATTAAAACCTTTAATGTAATTAAACATCCCACGGCACTTCAGAGAGTTGCAATAAAATAAGGTAAGCTATATCGCTGGGATACTGGGGTAGATAACCACAAGCAGGAGCAAGTAGACAAGTTTTTAATGAGTATCTTAAAGGAGAAAAGCAAGGTAGAAAGGCAGATGGATATGGGAAGATAATTAAATCTTAGCAAACTGAAGACACAGTCAGTCATCGACAATTGAGCAATTAAAATCCAGGATTCTCAAGACTCCAGAGTTGGAAGAGCACAGATATCTCAGAGGATTGTAGAGCTGGAGGTAATAAAGAAGGTGGGCCGGAGTAAGATCATGAAGGGATTTGTAAACAAGGGGGAGAACATTAAAAACAAGCTGCTGATTTATCAGAACCTATCAATATATATGAGCATGAAAATATGGAACAAGAGGATATCCTCAAGCTTACACTGGCAACAAAACATTCCTGACCCATGGCCTCCTCAAGTCTAGTTCATTAATCAATGCTGGATCAAAGGAGTGACCCTTATTTTTCTATTTTTGCCAGGAATGTTTCTGCAACAATTTTAATGTTTCATGTAAAGCTTGATAGATGCATTTGTCATATGACTAATATTAGTGAAGCAAATTCCAAGTAGCGAAAAAAATCAAAATATTTACACTTTTGTAGCTTTTGCTCCAGCACATATCATCAACAGTCATAAAAAGTTTCCCAGTAAAGTGGTGGCTGAATCTTTTGGATTGTCCAAAAACTGCAAAAAGCTAATGTAACCCTTAGTTTGATAGGGTGAGAAGTGAGTAGTGGGGATATGGAGCAAATCACCATGTTTAGTAAAATAAGACTGCAAATGTTTTAAAATGTTAATGCCCTCATTAAATTAGTAGGCCAGAGACTATTTTCATTCATTCATAATTCAATATTGCATTTTAACCTCAAAAACAATTTTACACTTTTTGCATGTGCAGTATTATGCCTTATGTGTTTATGCTTTCTGTGAGCAAACAATTCTAATCCAATTTCCCATATCCCTGTTCCTTCCTCCAATTATCCAAGTTGAAGCTGGCTGGTAGCACAGTATTTTTCCCCAATCCTGTCCATGTGTTGCCCCCCCGCCTCCATGCTCTGAAATAGTTTCTTCTACCCTCTAATTTCAGTACCTTGTGCTTAATTTTGTCTTTCTTGCCCCCTCATTGATGACCCTGAAACTACTGGAAAAATGTTTGTTTCTGTCTACCATGTCCTGTGCTTTCAATTGTTTAAAAACCTCTGTTAGATTGCCCCAGAATCTCAATTCTCATAAAGTTAGTACGAGGTAGAGGTGATGAAAGACTTCAAATGGAAATTGGATGGACATCAGGCAGTTCTCCAGGGATGAAACCATGTAATTAGGCTGACAACATTGCAATATAGATAGCAGCATGGACTTTACAGGCCAATGGCCTCTTTCTGTGCTATAAGTGACTCTGCATTTTGAAATAATATACTCAATAAAAAGAGTAGGTAACCTGATACTAACAGCGTTCTTCAATCCATTGAGGTCAGGAGTCTTCAAAAGCAGAGCATCAAAAACTTCATCTGACTCCCTCCTCACATACAACAGCACTAGAAAAAAAAATAAATGTTTCACTTGCATTATACTTTACACTTGGTCATTGCTCATCCCATATTCCAATGAAAATCATGCAAAGTAAAAAATCAATGTCAACATAGGATTATCTTAGTATGTTATATTTAACCAGTTACAAATAGAATGATTGAAAGTAATTATTGGTTAAATAAAATTCAAAGGATTTGAGAGCTGAATTGCCTTCAATAGCATTCAAAACTGCACGATACTACAATAATGATAATGAATTGATTATCTGTATGTTAACAAACATTATTAAAATGCTCAATGTTTGACACTGTACATTCAGTAATAGATCTACACTGCACACCAATCATGTCTGTTTCAATACAAACTACTCAAACACAAGATCCATTTGATGCTGAGAAGTAGGGATTTTGATAGCAAGCTATCTTCTAAATGAATAACACTATTAGGACCATCTTCTGCTTCTGATAATCTCATCTGGAATGTATGTTACATAATACAAATTTTTTACCTAATAATCAAAACCAACAGTGCTATTAAATAAAACATAGCTCTTTTATCCTCTAACTTTCAAAAATTTAAAAATGCATTGTACTCTCTATATTTTCAACTTGGGAGCAACTGCCCACTTAGGCGAGGAAAGTCCTGAATCTGAGAAATATTCAGCCAGTGACAAAACATTTGCCAGTGGTCCCACTAAGCTGAAAAGTATTTCATTTATTCTTGACAATTTGTACTAATGTACACAATTTATACAGATTGTCAGAGTGAAAAGATTCTTTGTTAAAGGTTTGATCGTACTTTTTATTAGAATCAATTTGATGAATTAGGGCAGAATCTACGCATATTAGGCACTGTAGCCAATCGGGTTGGCTGGCAGCTCTTGAAGACCTTCTGCCCACAGAGAGGCAGAATTCCAACGCTCTGCCTATTTATGCTGCACCCAGCATGTTATTGCTTTGGGGCAGGCTTTTTAAAAGTTGGTCCATTTTGTCTACGATGCATCTGTCCATAAAATCCAGTCTTTAGAGTAACTTCAAGGCAGTAACACATTCAATGTGAAATAAAGCATTTACAACACTTCAGATTTTGATCTTTGCCTCATCAAAACTAGTTATCTATCTAGTTACTCGGAACTCCTTTCTGATTTTTATAACATTTGTAATTAAATGCCACAAATTAAATATAGCCAGTTTTTACAATCTTTATTTTAATCAGTACTTACATTATCAGATAGCTGTTTATTAGGGGAACATAGACTACTCAATTAATTATTTTCCCTAATGTCTGTAGAAGGTCTGTATTGTAAGTGAATGTGTAACAGCTTCAGGAAACTGGGCAGCAGGAAAGCCACCTAATACATAGCCAAATGTGCCTCTGACAGCTACTCCAGTTTCTGATCATGTTGCTGTTTAGGTTAATGCTGCCTGCAGGGAAAGCATGAAACCTGTCTCTTTTTTTTGTCATGTAGAAGGACTACAGAGAAGCTACAGTGAACCACTGAGATGCTGCCAATGCTAAAACTGACACTTTAGGCTATCATCCATGTTTATATTGTAAACTTGTCATGAGGTTTCAAAATTAGTGGTTGCTCAATTCAATCCACTTCTCCAGATGTCACAATTTTTAACTGAAAATTTGTATTATTCTCTATCAGGTCATTAAAATTTCAAACAGGATTTTCTGATACATTCCAGTTTGTCACCACTCATCAATAAAACAGGCACATAGGTACACCAGCCAGAGAATTCTTTTATATTTAAATGTTATAGTCCACTGACGGGGGCCAAACTTTTAGCTGGAATTGGCGAGACTTGTCAGAAAGACAGGGAAAATAAATCAAGGTAAATATTTTCATCAGGGTATTTTTTGGTGGGTCAAGAGAAATATGACTGCTCCATTTACTCAGGAGGGATCCTTGGATCTTCCTATCCCTCTTCTTGCATCTTCTTCCCACCAATGGCTCACCTTAGGTCTCAAATCTCCACACACACCCCCAGCACTAACTTTATGATATACATTGTTTTGTCATATTACTGATGGTGTCAGACTCCCAGCCTAAATTCCTACCCCAACTTACAGGAGCCAATGTAACTTAAGCAGGCTTGGAGCCACAAAGTAGAGACAGTGCTCTACTATTCAAGTGAGACTCAGGGATTAAAATGATCAAGCAAAATAATATACTTTAGGAGGTTCCCTGCCAGCCTGAACCCACCCACCCTGAACTCGTGGTTTTAAAGACATTTTTCCTTGTACCTCTTTCTGGTTCACAAAGTCTAGCTTGTTTGACTGGAGGGTCCAATTCATCTTTGTACAGAGTCTTGTTATCCCTCTTCATTGGAAACCTGTACATTTAAAGCACAAAATTATGGATTATAAGTGATAAGCAATGCTATCAGGTGCCACATAAGAATGGAATCATTGGCACAGTTATGCAATTGAAACATCTATTATCCATCAACATTCCAATATGTGTGCAATGGAAGTTGAGATATCAGTCACCTGACATGATTTTAGATGGGTTGAATAAATCTCATTCTTAAATGACTGAATCCAGTGTGACTCTTTGTTTTGTGGCTAAAGTTGTGTTCAGGTCAATGGTCACATTTCATCCAGACCTTCTCATATTCTACCAAAATGCCCGTCCTAAACTGATTCTCTTTGCTGTGTCAGTGCAGAACAGGACTACACCAAATACAGCCCACAATATGAGCCCATGGGGTGATTTCACGCTGTGACTTTGTATGAATTGTTCTTGGTGATGCCTGTCTCATAAGGTATCCTTTTAGCCTTACATAGACAGTACATATGTAATAACCTAATGCAACATTTTGAGCACATTTACACGATAGCTACCCATCTGAGACTGATAGCTAGTCTGCAAGTGCAATCAGGCTTAATGCTGCTTCCATTAATTGACTTCTGCCTGGTTAGATTCTGTTTGTGAGTAGGCTCTGCAAACATCTGCATGCACCATTGGTTCTTACATTTGCAAATGTAAATGTTTGCAGAACTGGTGGGAGAGGAATATCTGATGTGTTTAGATTGCGGATATTGTAAGTGTTTTAACAGTCATTCTTTCCATCATCACAATTGTATTATGCCCAAGATGCACTGCAGCAAACTACCAAGGTTTCTTCCACAGTAACTCCCAGACCACAACCTCTACAGAGGCAGTGAAAGCTTGGGAACACCATCACCTGCAATTCCCCTACAGGTCACACAGCGTTGTGACTTGAACGTGTATCGAGAGAAATGCATTTGCACATACTGTATTGGCTGTTTGGCCATTGGCATGGGACTTCTACCTTTGCTGTAACTTGCTCTCACTTTAGTTTTAGCAGCCATTAAAGACATTGCTTGCAACCTGAAGTGTGAAGCTGATATTGAGTAAGCTTTCAGAACTATAAGAGAGTCAGCTTAAGGAAAACAACACCAAGAAAGAATTAAGACCTCAAACTACCGTGTGAGTCAGAATAGCTGTGCATTTTCCATTCCCAGCTGCGGGGGAAAATGAAAGGAGATAAGAGTCGAGATTAGAATTTGTCCCAGTATCATTGGAAAAAAAAACTATGAAATAGTTTCAGAACTTAATTAAAAAGACCAAGCAAGTAAGAGTAACAACCCTGTTATCAGTTCTGTGGAAAGCATGCGAAAGTTATATTGGACCCTTATCCTGAGGAGCAGAGAACCCAGGCAATAAAGATTTTTGTTGGCTTTGAAGACTCACTTTGAACACTCCATTAATGTGATGTATGAACAGTATGTCTTCAGTGTTAGAGCACAGAGCAAAAGGAGACAAGCAATCAGTATGTGATCGCATTGATACATTTAGTTGAATCTTAATAGTTTAGACAACTGAAGGATTCTCTCATTAGAAGTAAGATTTTCTTAAGTATAACAGATCATTATATAACAGTATATCTGCTGGGAGAGGAGAAAATCTCAAAAAAGCTATGGATGCGTGCAGAAGCTCTGAAGTTATCAATCATTATCCAGAGCATATTGATGGGAGAACAGGTGGGAAGTAGTAATATGTTGGGAGACATTCCAGACTGAATGATAACAACATCCTGGGAAAAAGGAAGGAACATTTTCAGAAAAGCTACCAAAAAGATCAAGGCAAGAGGACAGGGTGTAAATATTGCAGAGTTCATCAAACAATCAAAAAACAAGCATTTCCAAAACAGAGCAAACAGTGCTCTAACTAGAAGAAGCCCAAGTCATTTTGCACAGAGGTGTTTTACCATAAAAAAGCCAAGCAAGCCTAAAGGGATGGCTGCTGGAGAGATGTCAGCCAATGACTCTAATCATAGAATCCCTACAGTATGGAAACAGGCCCTTCGGCCCAACAAGTCCACACCGACTGTCAGAGCATGCCACCCAGACCCATCCCCCTATAACCCACCTAACCTACACATCCCTGAACACTACGGGCAATTTAGCATGGCCAATCCACCTAACCTGCACAGCTTTGGACTGTGGGAGGAAACCAGAGCACCCAGAGGAAACCCACGCAGAGACAGGGAGAATGTGCAAACTCCACACAGACAGTTGCCCGGAGTGGAGTCGAACCCAGGTCCCTGGTGCTGTGAGGCAGTAATGCTAACCACTGAGCCACAGTGCCACTCTGAAGCTGAACAAGAAAAGTGATGCAATTGAAATGCCTGAAGTTAAAAACATAGATCATGTACTGACAGTGAAAGGACTACACCTGTTAACAGTGACTAGCCGAGTTGAAAAGATAAGAAAAGAGATGGTGAAATTCATCCATGTGAGTCACCAAAGAACTGAGTTGTGCTTGAGGAAGTCAAAAGAAACATGACCGCTGAGATTAAGGACCATATCAACCAATGCAATGTTTGGCAATGAATATGAAGCCAATCAATGACAACTCAGATAGGCCAGGGATGAAGCTTGAAGTAGACCTATTCATTCTCATGAACTAATTATTTTATCACCATTAGTTATTATTCTGACTACTGGGAGTTAGAACAGCTGATATCAACCAGTGAGATTGTAGAATTCCTGAAAGTGCACTTTAGTCATTACAGCATTCCAGACATTGTGATGAGTGATTTGGTCCTCAGTGGAGAATTCAGCTACTTCATAAAGGATTGGGAACTTCAAGGCCATACATCTTCACCATTGTATCCCCAATCAAATGGAAAGGCTAAGGTGGCAGAGAAAATTGCTGAAGAGATCATAAAGAAATCAAGCAAATCCAGCAGAGTCGTACTTGAGTGAGAAACATGCTTAATGTAACCACAAGAAGTAGTCCATTTCAAGGACTAATATTACACCAAAGAAACAAGAACTAGTAACAAGGGACCTCTGCTCTTTGTGATCTTTATAAATGACTTGGATGAGGAAGTGGAAGGGTGGGTTAGTAAGTTTGCCGATGACACGAAGGTTGGTGAAGTTGTGGATAGTGTGGAGGGCTGTTGTAGGTTGCAACGGGACATTGACAGGATGCAGAGCTGGGCAAAGAAGTGTCAGATGGAATTCAACCCGGAAAAGTGTGAAGTGATTCATTTTAGAAGGTTGAATTTGAATGCAGAACACAGGGTTAATGGCATGATTCTTGGCAGTGTGGAGGAACAGAGGGATCTTGGGGTCCACGTCCATAGATCCCTCAAAGTTGCCACTCAAGTTGATAGGGTTGTTAAGAAGGCATATGGTGTGTTGGCTTTCATTGGCAGGAGATTGAGTTTAAGAGCTGCAAGGTTATGCTGCAGCTCTGTAAAACCCTGGTTAGACCACACTTGGAATATTACGTTCAGTTCTGATCGCCTCATTATAGGAAGGATGTGGAAGCTTTAGGGAGGGTGCAGAGGAAATTTACCAGGGTGCTTCCTGGACCGGAGGACATTTTCCCAGGGTGGAAATGGCTATCATGAGGGGATATAATTTTGAGGTGATTGGAGGAAGGTACAGCGGAGGTGTCAGAGGTAGATTCTTCACACAGAGACTGGTGGGTGCATGGAATGCACTGCTAGCGGTGGTAGTGGAGTCAGATACATTCGGGACATTTAAGCAACTCTTGAATAGGCACATGGATGATAGTAAAATGAAGGGTATGCAGGTTAGTTTGACCTTAGAGTAGGATAATAAGTCGGCACAACATTGTGGGCTGAAGGGCCTGTACTGTTCTATGTTCTATGTAAATCAAAGCCGTATTATATATAATTCCTGCCCAAACATCGAGTCAAAACATTCTAACTTCTAGTTCCACCTGACTGTGCTTATAACGCATCTTATCTACTATGCTTCAACATTCTTTTGTAATTCAAACCTGTGACTTGTTCTTAAAATTCTTTAAAGCTAAAATACTTTGCAAATGTAGGCAATCCTGTAATTTTTCACAACCCGCCCACTATTCAGCTTCAAAGTCACTACAGTTCAGACAAACCAAATAATAATTTACAGTTGTGAGTTAATCGCTGATGACGTCAGTTTAAGTTCCAGAGTCAGTAGAAAGCTTGTGGTAAGATTTGGACGTTTTGATAATTTGCTGTAAGACACTCAGACTATTCACCTGACTTCCTAAGATGTATATTATTATTCCATAATTAATACTGAAAAACAGTTTCTCCATAATTTACAGTGCCATATATTTCAGAGTAATTATCTCAATTTTCTTCAATGTTTTATTTTTGAAACTCTATCTTGCAGGATAAATTGTTGCTGTTTGAAATTTACCTATCTTGCATGTTGTCAGATAAAACTTCACCCATCAGTTTAAAAAAATTTACATTTACATGATGCCTTTCGGGACGTAATGATATCTCAAAATGTTTTGCAATCAATTAAATTCTTTGGAGTGCAATGCAAGAAGTTGAATCCCAGCATCCCCTGTAGGAGATGGTGTCAGTGCATAAATCCATTTAAAATTTCCCAATGCCTTGCTCAACATCTTCTGACTATCAAATTATAGCAGGGAGGCACATTTCTGGAATTATAAGGAGGCATGTCATCATCAGCAATGTATATGCATAGCACCACCCACACAGAAAATTATCCCAACACACTTTAACTTTAGAATAAATGGAGAGCATTCCTTACCTCTCAGGATTTGTGACTTCACAACTCATCGAATGGCCCTACAAGATAGAGCATCATTTTAACACAATTTTCAATTATTATGAACTTCAAAAATAGTAGTTGGTGCTAAAATCAAAAGGGGAGCTTGGAAAGTAGCATTGCGAGTCACAGATTGAAATTTGGGAGGTGTGAACTTGACCATTTATATTTTTAAAGCTGAAAACATTGTTAATGCTGACTGCTAGTGTTGTTACTCAATATAATGTTCTGGCAAACAAAGATCCTGCTTTCAAGAAGCAGCTGTGCTAAGGTACTGCAGTGCCTAGAATTCTATGTTTTTACTGCAGATAATGAAACTCGGCAGACAATTAATTCATTTGAAGCAATATCATGATGCTTTCTAACATAAAGCAGTACCTCTTATTTTTCACAGGTAGATTTTACTCAGAGCCCTAGATTTCAAACAACTTGGAAACAGGGTTTTTGTTTAAACTGATCTTCCACCTCAGCTACACCTGACCATTTTCTTTCCATATACTTTGATTTTCTTGGTATGTAATAATGTATTGATTTGTAACTAGAATTTGCTAAACAACTGAGCACCCACAGGTCATCGGGCAGAAAATTCTAAAGGATCCCCAACACTTGGAGTGAAAATATTTCTCCTTATCTCAGTTCAAAATGTCCAACCCGTTATTCTGCTGCTGTGCCCTGAGATGGGGAAGGTCAGCCAGGAATAACATTTTCCCAGCTTTTACCAGACACCTGAAGAATTTAGTATTTCTATTGGCTGGGTTTTCCAAAGAGTGTCAATTTCAGGCAAAGAATTGACAGATCAGGGCTCCTTCAGAAATGCAGAGCCATACTTCCATTTGGCAAAACTCCCACTATGGCAGAAACATTGGAGAAAGGTATACTATGTTCTCTTTATCAAAGCAGTCAGCAGCTTATGGGTCCAGACAGACACTTTGACCACTGTTATCAAGTTGTAAGTTCATACAAGTGCGAGGTTGCCATGCTAGGAGCGTAGGGTGCCAGATGGGTAGAGTGCTTGGTTATTTCAGGTGCCAGGTGGATATTGGATAAGGTGCCAGAAGATAAGTGCCAGATGGCTAGGGTTCTTATTATTGTTATATCATAGTATTGCAGTTATCATCACATATACATACCGATCCAGTTCGTTGTGAGTACAGAAAATGGGCTTCTGGGGTGAACAGAATAGGAGGAGAAATGAGATCTGTCACTGGCTTAAAATAAGTGATGTCAATTCCTTTATGGTCTGTCAGTGGAATCCTTTTGTTATCAGTGGCTGTTAAATGAAAAGTACAAGAGAGAAGATCAAGTTTTAAGACTTTATTGTTTGCAGATTGATCATTCATCAAATAATTTTGTTTAATTTGATTTGATTTATTTTTGTCATGTATTGAGATACAGTGAAAATACTTTTATGCTATTCAGACAAATCATTTCTTACATAAGTACATCAGGGTATTAGAACAGAATGCAGAATATAGTGTTACAGCTACAGAGAAGGCGCAGAGAAAGATCAACTCTAACGTACGTGAGGTCCGTTCATAAATCTGATAACACTGGGGAAGAATCTGCTCTTAAATCTGTTGGTATGTGTTTTCAAACTTTTTATCTTCTGCCCAATGAAAGAGGGTGGAAGACAGTATAACCGGGATGGGAGGGTCTTTCATTATGTTGGGTACCTGTTCTGAGGCAGCAGGAAACGTAGACTGAGTCAAAGGAAGGAAGGTTGGTTTTTGTGATAGACTGGGCTGCGTTCACTACTATTTATAATTTCTTATGATCTTGGGCAGTTGCCATATCAAGCTGTGATGCATCCGGATAGGATGCTTTCTATGGTGAATATATAAAAATTGGTAAGAGTCATTGTGAACGTGCCGAATTTCCTCAGCCTTCTAAGAAAGTTGAGGCATTGGTGTGCTTTCTTAACTGTAGTGTTGACGTGGATGGACTAGGACAGATTGTTGGTGGTATTTATTCCTAGGAACTTGAAGCTCTCAACCATCTCCACCTCAGCACCATTGATACAGACAGGAAATGGCTTCATAGATGTTCGCAGAGCAACAGGTTAAGCAACCAGCAGAGACTAGAACCAAATTCCCACCACCACAGATTATGTAGCTTCAGAAAAACCAATTGCTTTAACTGAGCAGAAAATCTAAGAACTAAGGAACATTGTTAATCATCCTAAGAGAATTTGGGAGAGGATTGTGGGACAGCAGAGAGGTTAAATTATCAATGCAAAATATGATCTGCATAAAGGCCACAGTCTGCAGATAACATATATCTCTGACAAATGCTGTTCTACCCAAATATTAATCTAACTTCCCTTCTTCCAAACATTACCAGGCCTTTTCTACATCATGAACTACAACTGCTATGAACAGAATCTGAAATACTGCGATGGTTCGAAGTTGCCAGCATCAATATTGAAACAAGAAAGAAAAAGGACTGGATTATTCCTTTGAACTTCTGATAAAAACAATAACATACCAAACATTTGCTAAGAGCCAATGGTGTTGGAGGTGGTATATTAGCACAGATAGAGAATTAGCTGACCAATAGAAGACGCAGAATCAATGACTTGGATGAAGGAAGTGTTTGTAGGTGATGAAAAAAAATTGGTGGGGAGGTAGGTGATGAGGATAACATGAAGAATCTGTAGAGGGATACAGACAAGTTAAGTGAATAGGCAAGAACTTGGCAGGTGGACTGTAATGCAGGAAAATGTGTGGTTAGCTATTTTGGTAAAAAGAATCAATGAACTGAATATCATTTAAGCAGAGAAAGATTGTAGAAAGGTGCAGCACAGAGGGATTTGGGAGTCCTCCAGCATAAATCACGATAAAGTTAACATCCAAGTTCAGCAGGTAATGGGGCAAACAAATGGATTGTTGGCCATTATTTCAAAGACCTGCCTGAAGTGGTGACTTGTCAGTTTGCATGTCATGGGCCATCTCCAAGCAGCTAGGCAGGGCCACACCACATGCCTGTAGCTGAAGTTTGGCTACGAAGATCCTAGTTGACCTCTGTCCATTGGTTTGAAATTGGGATCAATTGGTTCAATAGGTTACCTGTCATGCTTGAGTAGATAGCCCTATCAACGCTAACCACCTTACCTCTGGGAATATTATCTGAAGGTAACATAGCTTGGGGGGATGGTGGGAGGTAACTGGCACACAGAATAACACTGCCCACTTCCATTCACAGGTCTGGTGGGACCAAAAATCTAGCTGAGGATTATTGTTTTTGAATGCTATATTCAAACAGCGCAGGAAACGTCAAATTTGGAGATTGAAATGGAAAAGAAATAGCTAAGGTAAGGAAACTCAGACATTTCAGGCTAACACTTTATGAACACTTCAGTGAAGCAGTCACATAAGTTCCAGTTGAGTTTCCCAGTTTGGGAACTGGTGACCACCAGTTGAGCAATAAGTACATTTGTGTGTAAAATTTGAGAATTGCTTATTTGTGAACTGCTGTTGCACATGTATGGAGTGTTTAAGGCACTGGATCAAAATGTGGAAAAAGAAAACAATAATCCTCAGCTCATGTTAGATCTTCTGCTGTGGATTGGAAGGATAGCTTGAAGTACAGGTGAATAAATGGACAAGAGATTTGTTCAGGGAACCAAGCACTTTAAGAGTGAGGAAAATGCATTTTGTCAGGGGATCATTTTGTAAAGTAATGAAAATGGTCAATGATGAAATGTTACTTGAAGAAACTCAGGGACAGCAAATAAAAACAAAAGGGAGCCTACTGATCTTGAGAGAGGAAGGGGAGAGGTTTGAACAGACATCTGGAGGTGGGGAGCTTGGTTGAAGAAACAAGGAAATATTTCAAAAGTACTTTTGTCAAAAATAGAATTATCAAAAAAAAAAAATTGACACTTTTTTGGATTTTGTCATCTATTAAGCCGCCCTGGCTAGAATATCTGCTGGTTCTTTCTCTTTCTCTACTCCCACATTTTGCTCTTTATTTCTCCAATCTCATTAAAATATCTGTATCTCTCATAGTCATAAGTCTGATGAAGGGTATATGTCCAAAATGCCATAATCTATATATTTGACTAACCATTAGTACATCTCCAGCATTTTTTGTTTTCATCTCTGAATGATGACTGTTGTTTTAAAAATATTGATTTTCCTCCCCATACTTCACATTTTTCTTCCTTTCAGTTATTTAAGTACAACATTTTCTATTTGGGACTTAGTGTATTTTTGACATTCTTTACATTGGTCTTTGTGTTTTATGTATTCCAGACTTATATTTCTCCAAAATAAAATTGAAGAAAACATAAAAGCCACAGATAAAAGTAAAATCACCATCATCCTGCCGGACTGCACTCTCACTAGACAGAAACAATTGGTGGTGGTTTAGCCTGAAGGTCACCATACCTCAGGGGAGGGGAGAAGTTGAGAAAGAGAGTCCTTCATGGTAACCTCAGCCAGTGCAGGAATTGAACCCACACTACTGGCATCACTCAGCATCGCAAACTGACCATCCAACCAACTGATCTATCCAAACTACAAAAGTTGCAGAAATAGTATCCTGAAGGATTTTCATTCATTCAGTTCTATGGGATTCTGCCATTCCTGCTCCTCTGGTGCTGCTTGGTCTGCTGAGTTCATCCAGCTCTACACCTTGTTATCTCAGATTCTCCAGCATCTGCAGTTCCTACTATCTCTCAAACATTATCTTACTCACTATCTGTGGTGGAATCCGGAGACTTGCTTTTTCTTTTCGATTGCTTGCGCTCTTCATCTCTCATTTTTCTCTCAGCACCCTGGAATGATGGATATGAGAAGAATAAGTAGTGTCTCTCCAGAAATTGAATTGCAAATGGATCAGTTAACAGCAGGCAAAATTCATCAAAAAATTAATTGCAACAGCAGTAGGCACTAAGGTAGTAAAAATCAAATTCTCCTTAATTATTCTCAAAAGATTGGTGTTATTTCCTGTTGGTAGATTCATTTATAGTATCACAGAATGACACAGCAAAGAAAGAGACGATTCATCCCAGGACGTGTGTGTTGGGTCTTTGGTAAAGGCATCCAATTTATCCTTTCCTCTGACCTTTCCCCTTAATTATTCATCTTTTTTTCTTTAAAGTATTTATTTAATTCTCCTTTGAACATTCCTCGTCAATTTGGTTCCACCACCCTTTTTCACAGTGCATTCCAGATCATATTAACTCACTGTATAAATAAATATTTCCCAGTGTCATCTCTGCTTCTATTCCCCATCGCCTTGAATCAGTGTCCCCTGGTTGCTGAACTTCTGTCACTGGAATTAATTTTTCTTTATACATTCTTATTGAAACCATTCATGATTTTGAATACTTCAAACAAATTTCATCTTAACTTCCTGTGCTCTGAGAACAACTCCAGTTTCTTGTGCATTTCTATGTAACTAAAGTTCTTTATCCTTGTCACTGCTATGTGAATCCATTCTGCATCCTTTCCAAGGTTATCGCATCCTTCATAAAAAGTATGGTTTCAGAATTGAACATATTAATTCTGCCAAAGCCTAAGCAGTGCTTTATTGGAGGGCAGGGGCGATAAACCTTCATATTCTATTAATAATTCTAAGGATTACTTTTCAAAAAAAAATAGCCTTCTCACCTTGTCCTGTCACAAACTCAGACATGTGTGTACGTCTCAGTTCTCCCTATTCAAGCATTGTCTTTCAAACTTGTCCGTTAGTTTATATTGCCGCTTCTCTTTCTTTCTACTAAGATTCCTCACTTTGTGTCCCCCAATATTAAAATTTCATCTGCCATCTGTCTGCTTATGATTGGCTGAAGTTAGTTATTATCTACCTCATTACCATTCTACGTTTGGAAATTCATACTTTTTGCAAATTTTGATATTCTACCTCATATACTCAAATCCAGGTTATAAATATATATTGCATTAATCTTTATCTTGTTAGTGTCTATCATATACATATCTTAATATATATCCACATGAACATAAATCCTAATATTGAGCCCTGAATACTATTATATACCTAGAATTATAGAATCCCGACAGTGTAGATAGAGATATTTTTTTGTAGCAGTCCCATGGATCTCTTCACCTCATTTGATTTCCGGCCTTGCTAATCTATTACTTTAAGCTGCTTTAAAACGTTCAAAAAACACAGACTGGAGCCACAAAATGTTTAATCTATCTGGATCTATGTACTGTCTACTTGTCTATGCAGAATGTATGACCAGGAGTCGAACCATCACATCATTGCTAGTTTCCAAACCATGCATTTACATGGCTTTTGAAATAAAAGGGTGGGGTAAAGGGCCACATACCATATTATTGGATAAACAAAACAGATTATCTCTGTACTTTGGGTGCATCTTAAACTCCAATTAGTTCTTTCTCACCCATTCTCTCTTTCATTGTCACATTCCATTTCAACTTTGTCTGTTATTTTGTGATGGTTGATGCCTCAGGTATATATTACATATCTTTCACTAATCCTGGCTTAGGTTTTAAAAGAGATCCTATCTCTTTTCATTTTTAATGGAAAAGAAAAACAGACTTATACCAAAGCCCTGTATAATGCATGAGAGATGTAATGAATTGTCAGCCAGTGCAATACTCTGCAGTCAACCAAGTGATATTTACCTATCGTAACTAGATTGCTAACTAAGTACTGCTATTAGCTGCAAACCTTTCCGTTGCACTCAATTATTGTCCCAAGAATATGATAGTACGGTTGAACATCTATTAATGCAGTAGTCAGATAATCTACGTTCAATTTAAGTTAATCATTGACTCTTCTGTTATAACTATCTGAAGCTTTTTTGCATTTTTGACAAATCACCCTTTCATAATATTCCATTAGTAAGACATTCACGATAACATTATGTATGAGAAAATCAAGTGTGCGTAGAAATAGCTGATATTCACATCCAGAAAGCAGTAGTGTCATACTATTATAAATGCAAAGTTTTCATGGTTAGGTTTGTAGTCTAATGCACTGCCTACAATGTTTAGCTTCTATCATCTGTGAAGCTCAGGCCCTAAAAACATACTTTGGAAACCATTAATAATATCACATTTTTATTTATAACTTGCCCACAGGTAGCTTATGACATGACCTCATGAGAAGCCTGCAGCTCTTTTCCAGTGTTTTCTGCTTATCATTTCATCAGTTTCAATGTACTAATCAAGCTACAAAGAGTTGACATAACTCAATCACACAAACAGTATGTGCACAAGTCAGGGGGCATTCCTCGACTGCACTCATCCAAACTCTTCAAAAAAAAATCTATTTTGCAAGTTTCAGAATTTCAGTTGTGCAACGCATGTTCTGATTGCGGAGATTGTTGTCACTGCAGCAGAGCTTTATCTTATACATGAGAGGAAAGAATTCTTTATCGACACACATCAATAGGGGTTTCACAAAGGGAGGAGGTCAGGATAGATACTATCCCATAAAGTTCCCTCTTTGCAATAAAGGCATAATTTATGGCACTTATAACTATATTTGCAATAAACTTTGTTTAATTTTGTGATTTGTTATTGGACTAAGATAAACTACACAGTACCTCAGTCCTTTACCAAATCCACTTTGACATGAGAACATAACTATAATTGTCACAACTAGGATATTACCTTTAGAAAATGAATGAACTATTTTCTATCAATGAAACATTTAAATAGATTCTTATAAAAATTATATTACTGTCAGCTTCAATGCTTCTCATTATTCTTTCAAAAATTTATATTAATTTCCAAACTCAAAAGAAATCTTTGATGCGACATTTCCATCTCCTACACTTGCCTAAAAACATATTTGAGCTGACAATTCTGTCCCAATCAGGACTGAAGGGAGGAGATAATAATACTGCAGGTTGGTGTTCCCTGCCGAGTATATTGAGACAAGCAAAATTTACCATTTCCTTTATATTAATATCTGAATTTCTTTTACAACTTTTCTACTTTTAATTTTCTATTCTTCTCTTTCCATATTTCTTGATCTTTGCTGTCTTATTATTAAATATCCATACCTTGTCCACGAATATTTTAATCTGACAGACAGCTCGGTGAATAGGCTTGTCCGATTTGGCTTCACAGTCATAGGTGTCGATCTGGAGATTCAAGGGAAGACCTTTGACTCCCTTCTGTGAGGAGAAATCTGTGCTAAGGCAGTTAATGCCAATGTAAACCTGTTGGAGGGAAAAGAAAATTGAAAGATTACTTCTTACACACTGATCAATGCTTTTGTAATGAAAATACATGCCATTTAAGATAGATGGGATTTTTTTTGGGATTCAGAAATTATTTATCATTTGGGCAGAGGTAACACATCAAAATTCTCAATCTTTACTGGCAAAGGTACTTCAAATGAACTCCTTATAGGAGGACTGTGCAGATATTTACATGTACACTGTGCTAAACAGAATAAAATGAGGCAAAATCACAGTGACAGATGGAGTATGGTGTGGGAAATTGTGGGGAGATTATTTATTTTGATAATAAGATTCAAAACAGAATTTTATTTTTCTTCTGGATGTACTGACCGAAAATTACAGAATGTTAGCATGGGATACAGCAAGCAAAAAAAAACATATAACACTTTATTGCCAAGGGACTGGAGTACAAAAGACTTTGCTACAAATGTATAGGACTTCGGCAATATCAAATTTGGAGCTCTGTGCACAGTTTTGGTCTCCTTCCCACATCCATAACTTGCTCTGGTGGACAGAAAGCAAAGGTCCACAGATCAGATGGGATGAGTGAGATCTTTCTCCACTAAAACAAGCTGTGAAACTTCAGAATTGTCTATCTTTGAGGATTGCAGTTGTTCCATTATTGGATATATTTCAGGTTGAAATAGACAGACTTTTGGTCATAAAGTCATAGAGTCATAAAGATGTACAGCATGGAAACAGACCCTTCGGTTCAACTCGTCCATGCCAAACAGATATACTGAACTTGCCAGCATTTGGCCCATATCCCTCTAAATCACTCCTATTCATGTAACTGTCCAGATGCCTTTTAAATGTTGTAATTGTACCAGTCTCCACCACTTACTCAGGCGGCTCATTCCATACACAGACCACCCTTTGTGTGAAACAGTTGCCCTTAGGTCCCTTTTAAATCTTTCCCCTGTCACCTTAAATGTATGCCCTCTAGTTTTGGGCTCCCCTACCCTGGGGAAAAGACCTTGACTACTTACCCTATCCATGCCCCTTATGATTTTATAAACCTGTATAAGGTCGCTCCTCAGCCTTTGACGCTTCAGGGAATATAGCCCCAGCCTATTCAGCCTCTCCCTATAGCTGAAACTCTCCAAACCTGGTAACATCCTTGTACATCTTTTCTGAACCCTTTCAAGTTTCACAACATCTTTCCTATAGTAGGGAGACCAGAATTGAATGCAATATTCCAAAACTGGCCTAACCAATGTACTGTACAGACGCAACATGAACTCCCAACTCCGATACTCGATGCACTGACCGATAAAGGCAAGGGTACCAAACTATCCTGTGTACCTGCAACTCTAATTTCAAAGTCTCTTTGTCTCCAAAGTGTCTTGGAATCGACGGATTTGGGAGTTGGTCAGAAAAGGGAGTTAGGTCAAAAGCTAAGTCATGATTGTGGAATGGTGGAACAGGCGAGAGGAGCCCATAATTTCTCCGATTTTTGTTAAATACAGAATGAGATAACACTATTTGTTGGCTATGATGATATTTCTTAACACTGTAATTTCTAGAAACAACCAGGCAACAGTGGTATAATTTCAAGGTTTGTCTTGGTATGATATCTGTGTGGTGTGACTTTTGTTTCTAAACAGGACTTGTCATTTTATTTGACTTATTGAATAACATTCATAACGGAGGTTATAAATTGATGGTTGTGACAACATAATAGGACCATAAAGCTGTGTTCAGTTAAGCCTAGCTGAAGCTCAACAGAGTATTTATTGTATAAAACGCATACAACATCTGCTGCTTTGCCTTCAGGTTAATGAAGTCTGAGCTATAACAAAACCGATCATGTATAAGCAAATTGAAACTAAAGTCAAATGCTTGCTATATTCTTTTCAGGTTCATACAGCAAACAACTAGATTCAGTTATTCAATAACTTTATTGGAATTATTTCTGGCTGCATCATTCAAATGAGCATGATGACTGTTAAAATGGTTACAGACCAATTAGATTGAAGCATCCAAAATCAACCGATTGAATGAACTCTCTTTCAGTTTCAATTATTGGACAATCAGCATCTGTGTTCTCCAAGCAAATTTAAAAAAATAAACTATCAAATAAAAGAGAAACCCTGATATTGTGATGAAATTGGGGGTCCTG